CTCGTTCAATTTTTGGTGCGGTTCATTTTCAAAGTGAATAACTGTAATATATATTTACTTATAGTTTATATTATTAAATTTCAATTATTTTTCAATGCATTATATTTTAAAATTTTTAAATAAAAAATTATTACATAAGTTATATATAATTATACTATTCAACCGCTACAATACTACCAATCAACCTTATATTTGAATTATTCTCTGTTAACCAACCGCCTTCTCTAACCACTGATTCTAACCGCCTTGTTTCAAACGACCCTATGTTCAACCGTTCAAAACTTTCAACCGCTCGTTTCAAACGGGGTCACCAGTCGGACCCTTAATACATTGTTCCGAAATCTACAACATAAAAGGTATAATACTACTATGCTTTGGAAAAATCTTCATTGTTGCCAGTTGCTTCTTCCTCCTTTGCTATCCGATACCACATAACCGGATCATCTATCCTACAAGTCTGGTAAAGAGGTGAGCATTGAATACTCATTAAAACAGTCTACTCTGTCTCAAAACCTAACAAAACTTAAATCATTATTTACTACTACAACTCTCACATGATGCTAATCCTCTTTCTACTATGACCCACTCTTAGTCATTTCTACACATTTCGATAACTAAGCAAGCCACACCTCGCTACTCTCTTAGTATCATTTCACATTCACACCTCTAGTTGTTTAGTCCGTCAGCCAACTTTCACACTTCTAGACTTCCCGACCCTTTCTAGCCGCTCATTATTGACTGCTAGTTTTTCATGCCACTTTTTCAGGCCAAACACAAACAAGGCGGCGACATGTGCTCTGTCACATGCCCTTTTGAAATATTATTAAATGTGGAATAGTGAACCTACTACCCTACCAATTTGTGATGCCTCTTCTACCCTAGAATCTCCTAAGGTTCACAATCAACATTTCTACTCCATAATATCCAAGTCATATTATCTACGTTCTTAAACAATAGCTGAAAATATTTCAAACTAGTTTGCCCCGTATGGTCGCCCCCAGGTAAGCATGACTATCTCAATCCATGACAATGTTTATGGCTACACTGAGACCATCCCTGCATAAATACACACATAATAAACTATTTGTTAATTGTGGACGATTCATGATCCAACTTGTACTGTGGACAACATACCTTTCACATGTCATTCCTTTCATATGCCTCATAAGTTTGAGTTTGTCAATCCTCATGACTCTTCTCGTACCAGCACTCACCTATAGATCTAATGTCGGGTTGACTAAGGAAAAGTTGAGCAGCATTTACATTTACTCGAGCCATTTTCTGTCTGGATCACGGACAACCCCTAGCGGATTATCAGATCCGACCAAACAAGTTGACCATCAAATGAAAGATGATTTCTTTCGAATAAAAATTCCTCCTTAGCTTTACTTGGTCACATAATGAGGTTTCCTCAAGTACTATTTCAATTTACTTGGATCAATTCACACATTTTCTAACGATAACCTAGTTTCGAGTTATCGGAACCAACAACCAAGTAACCTTCGAGTATAAGTTACTTCTTATCGAGTAACAAGTTCACCGTCGCTCTATTTCATGATTTAATAATAATCAAATTATTTCCAGTTTACTCAACTAACTTCTCAATTGGCCCATGATAGCTCTCTTGGCAGGGTATAGTTGTGCCAATGCAAGACTCAATCATATTCCTGACTGAAACTCATTTCTCCATACTCCTAAACAATTCTCACAATATTCAAGTGTGAAATGGGGTATAAACCTCGACGGAGCTCTTTCCCAGTCTCACCAAACAACGAGTAACTCTTGATCCAACAGAGGCCAAGTCAAAATTCCTCGAGGCCATGCTCGACTCTCATGCCCATATTACCCTTGGATATGTGCAACGTTGATATACCCTATATTTTACCACTTCTACTATATATTTTACTATGGTTTTTACATATATTAATAAAGCTTTTCGACCAAAAGAGGTAGTTTTCTCGTATTTGTAGATTTTAACGTCTTAACAGGTTTTATCATCAAAAAGATGTAAAATGGAGGAAAAAAGTGTTATCTATGATGCAGCTACTCATTCAAGACAAAGGAACCAAGCCAAGTCGTTATATCTTGAAGATAATGCATATTCTCAAACTGGACAGAACGTATACGTCAGAAGTTCACTGATGAACGGAGAATCAAATCAATTGGTAATTTATTAAAACTTGATATGGAGATATAACTTTGAGTTAGATTTCCAATGGAGTTGGAATTTCATCAATTGGAGCTGTACTTTAGAAGATACACTGGAAACACTGAGGACATGTCAAACTACCTTCGAAGTGAAGTGAGTGCACAAYGYAGCCAAGCACCGGGCCGCCCATGGGCCGATGATCCAGACCTTTGCCGACCTCCTAAAAGCTCCATAGAAGCCTCAAATACCGGTCACGCAACCCGACCGATATTGTGACCGGTATTGCCACAGTTTCGACCAAAAAGACGTTTTTGCCCGAAGAAGACCTAGCCGACTTAAGCCTCCTTAAACCCCTATATATATACTTGTTTTTAGCCTCTCTAGGAACTTAAGCAGCCGGCCATAATAGCCTAAATCAATACCTAAACATGTATTTCATTTTTCTCTTGTTCTTAATGCATATTTGATTATAAAAGCCTTTAAGGATAAATTGACTTTGCCCTATTGCGAAGAGATGAGATCTAACTCCTTACGCTTTGTAGATCAACGATTTATCTTTATGTTTATGTACTTTACTCTTACTGCTATGTGTTACAAAACATGTTAGAGTACTAGTTTTGATTTGATTTCTATGCACTTTCTTAATTCTATGTCTTTACATACTTAATCGTTTAGAGTTTTATTCTAGAATTG